TTGTTCTCGGCTACCAGGTATACATTTAAAATTATCAGTTTTGTTGCTAAATAGTTTTGCTATCTGTAGTTGTAGGTACTGTTCCTTCTGTAGAGACTGTGATATAGTGCATGTGCCCATTGGCTGACATTGTAGATATGTCTTAACCCAATCCGTACACCCTGGGGTCATTTTGTACCCTCGGGGTTGTATTCTTCACATTTTAGAATACTTCTTAGTATGAAGATTTCTTTGAAACTTTCAGTATTTCTCAAAAAATCATTTTGACAGACTGCTATGCAAAGCGTACGGATCGGATTAACGAGTAATTTTTCTCTTTGGAAAGTGATGGCACAGAGTTCCGCACGTTGTATGGATACGATGGTAAAGGACGACGTATGGATAGGGTTAAGGGATTAAGGCAAATGTCCCTTGTAAAAAATGTTTTTAAATTTCTTGCTGTTGCCATCCTTTATTTGTTCGTTTCTACGCATGTCTGGGTTAGGTTTGCTTTAGTACAAAAGTGGATGTATGTGTACTCCTTGTTGTGGGATGCTGTGAGACTTTATTTGATTCCAAGTTAGATAATTACTGATGCTTTTTTAAGCGAGGCTTGCATAGATTATTTGGTCTCATCGCAAAATTGATTATATATAAAAGCACTATAACATTCTTGTTGTTATCTTTTACTCAATAATGTGAGGCTTCGCGGTGAAATCAGACGCTCGTCAAAATAATGAAATCGAAGAAACTGGCACTTTTCTGTCCATTTTGCAATTTTGATCAATTTTTGTTTTTTGACTCAACACCTTGTAAGGTCCAATAAAAAAACATGTCTCGCGTGGATTTTACTGAAAAACGTTGATTTAAGGCACAAAAATATAAATTTACAGTTTCCAAGGACTCTCAAGCTTTGGAAGTCACCAAACTTTGGCGGTTATTTTTTCGCAAAGTTTACCTCTGAAATCAGGTGACCCCCACCTTCTTGAATGGCAAATATCTCGACTTCTATTCATAGTAGATGGGTATTTTTTCCAACCAAAAGCAAGACAAGTGAACAAGCTTTAAAATGATACCAATAACTCCATATTTCCAAAAATTGACGAGCGCCTGATTCCACCGCGTTGTGACACATTCACACACACACACACACACACACACACACACACACACACACACACACACACTCACACACACACATTTATATAGGCCTTAATACGTACATACATATCACACTTACACACACACACACACACACACACACACACACACACACAAACACACACACACATGCGCATGCATCATGCATGCATGTACCCTTTCTATCTGTAAGTGTTACTTTCTCTCACTCACTATTTTTCACAGCCTTCTACCTTCACCCATACACTTGCAGTCAACCAAGAAAGAACAATGTAAATCTAATCAACAAACAAACATAAAAGTATGAATCATCGACTGTCCTATTGGCTGGCTGGAGATCCTCTCATCACATCACAAGTAGATCCTACTTATTTTCTCTCTCTCTCTGTTCTGTCTGCGCGTCTATCTATTAACTTTCCCTTTTACTCAATGACCATTATTCTGTCCCAGCGGTTTTATGAAAAAAAAAAATTGAAATTATGCAAACTGCACCCAAAAATGTGAAATTATGTGATTCTGTTAATTTTAACAAAGAATGATAAAAGAAAATAATCAGAAATTATGCGAAAAAGATCAAATTTTGCTAAATTATGCTGGGTGCATAAAACCCTGCGGACAGATTATTGTATTTACACACTTCGTTTTACTCCAACAAAACAACAATCGTAATATCTGTTCCCCCTCCTCCCTCCTCCCCCCTC